TTTTTTTTTTTTTTTTTTTTGACATTTTTTGTAGTTTAGCAAAACCTTAAATGAGTTGCAAACATTCTAGCAGCATGGGCTGTTAAACTTCTGGAAGAACAAGACAAAAATTGAAGAGCAAGATGTAAGAGAGAGCTGGCTGTCATAGCTGATGGTGCTTTGTTAGTCTCTTGGTACTAATAGTATGTTAAAGCTACACTGGTGGGCAATGTGTGGAACTAAATGATGAGCTGAAATACAGAGAAAGGCACAGAAAATACTTTAATTATGAAGCGTGTTTTTAATCTGTTGTTGTAAAGACATCTCTCCAGTAGAGGGAGGAGATTTCCTGCCTAAATACTGTTTTGCCTTGCATTAATAGATAATTGAATTGCTTTGTAAATTAGTCCTGATGAGATTTCCTCCAAGCAAGTACCTAGGCAGGCTCTTCTCCCCTTGGAGCTCCACTGTACCCTTTAACGTCTTGGGAAGTCCACCTTTTGGTGGCCCTTCTTGAGCATTTCCTTTATGTCCTTTCGGAAGGTGTCAGCCTCGAGCCGTGCCGGGGTTTTGTGGCCATTTCCAGAACTGGAGCTCCCTTTTCCTACAGGAGAAAGGCTAACTTGTAGCGCCCGGTTCCTGCCAGCCAGCGGCTCTGGTGCTGTTGTGATGCTAATRCAAACCTTTCTGCTGCTCTCGCTTGTGCTCCCCCTTGAACAACATGCTGAATTGGGAGTCTTTCCTTTAAGCGGGGTATTTTTCTGCATGTAGACAGAAATCAGAAAAGCCTGATCACAAAGTTAGCTTACCTTCTTGCACAGGCATGGACTAAAAAACAAGAGCGTGAAATTATCATGCCGTACATTGAAGTATGACTTGAGAGTGTAGCAAAGTAGTCCCTCCGTGCTGGCATCTGACAGTTGTTGTGTAAAGACATTTAAAATGGGCAATTCTGGCTGAAATGGTTATTTGATGGAGTGTTATCCCGAGAGCACGGCTGGTCACGCTTCCTGAAAGCAGATGTCGAACTGCCCTGCCAGAGGTGCTGCTGCTGCACATAAGGGCTCCCCCAACACGTTCCTTTATTTTTCTCAGTACAATAAAAATGTCTCTACCGCGATTTTAACATAAACAAGATGCTCTGAGCTGCTAGTCCACCCGGGTACCCTTAGATGGAGCTGTCAGCCCCAGCGCTGCTTGAGAAGGCCACGTGAAGAGCCTGGTGCTGAGGCACCCCGAGCTTTGCGCCTGTGGCAGCCCCTTTAGCACCGCGGCGACGCAGCCAAGTCTTCGGAGGCACCTGGAGCTGTGCGGCACGTCCTCTGTTTTCCTCTCACAGGTGGGACGTGCCCGTGCTGCTGCTTGCCTTGCAGGCATGGCTTGCAAGGCCACGGTGTCTTTCTCCTTGGCCTCCCCCCGGGAGGCCACGTTAGCCAAACTCCTGCTTGGCCCCGCCGAAGTTGCATGGGGGCAAGCGGCATCTGCAGAGCTCTTTCCTGGYCCTGCACTCATCCTGTGACAAGGAATGGTGAAAATGGGAGGCTTCTCAGCCATTCCTGCCCTTGCCCTTCGCTGCTCACCCAGGGCAAGACCCTGCAATGAGCGAGCCARTATCTAGTTAAGGAATGTTACAGGCAGGAAATGTCTCACAAGTAGAAGGGTAGGGTGGCTCATTAAAGCAGCTTTGGCTCTAGAAACACAAATGGTTTGGCTTATTTATGACTTTCCTCCTGCCTCCCCCACAATGTATTTTCATTTACTGAATGTCTTTTGTGAATACTGTGTAGGAAAACTCTGGGTTGGGACTCCAGAGATTTAGTTTATTCTCAGTTTAGTAACAGATTTCATGCAGATAATGTTTCCCAGTTCTGTTTCTCCTCTGTAGGATGTGGCTATTACTCCTTTACAGATGTGCTAGGCAGTTAAAAATGAATGATTGTGTTTTACTGTATAGCAACGAAATCTATTTAAAGATTCTTTTCAGCTTAAATAACTTCCTTAGAGCATTGAACACTAGCAAATACAACATGACAGAAGCCTGAGGCAGAGGTGCCTTAGTCCCCAGATCTCCTCTCTGAGCTCAGATTCATTCCCACCTGGATATCAGCTTGCCTCAAAACTGGATGTAAACTTCTTGGGAAGAAGCACCCTTCAAGGTTTGCTGCCATTGATGCTAAATGTGCTTTTTCTCACCCTTTCCTCTTCTAGGAGAAAAACGCTCAGCTACTGGGGACCGCACAGCAGTTATTCACCCACTGCCAGGCACAGAAAGAGGAAATAAAACGTCTTTTTCAACAGAAACTTGATGAGGTTGGTCTGGTGGAAATGTGTGCTTGTTTGGCATCTGGGTGGAAATGTTTTTGCTAAAAAGGTGCAAGGCCAGAATGGTCTGGGGTCTTCAGCCTTCTTTGTGCAGATGACATTACATCATGTGGAAGCTCTTTGCTGCTTTGGTTAGGTTTTATTTTTGCTGTTGAGATTGTTGTGTGCCACTTTATCTGGGGGAAGGGGCGACGGTCCACAGGCACCATTGCCTTTTAATAAAGGGTAGTCTGCATTGCTAATGCAGCTTCAGAAGCTCAAAAGGAAACGTGATTGCTCTGCAAAAATAGTGTTCTCGTGGTTGACAAGAGAAACTAAATGGCAGCTTTGAAGTTGAATTGCTAGAGCAGCCACTCAAAGCGAGGTATTTCTGAGCTTCTTCATTACCTCATATGTAAAATATTGATGAGAAAGTGCCTCAGAGTGACTTTCTACAAACTGTTAAAGTTTTACGAGTCTCCTTAGTATTACTTTTGAATGTGACAGTTGTCTGGATTTAGTGTCAAGGCCGTATCGAATGATCTCTCTCCCTCCCATCCTCCATTTTGTAGCTGGGAGTTAAAGCTCTGACCTACAACGACCTGATTCAGGCTCAGAAGGAAATCTCTGCTCACAATCAGCAACTGAAAGAACAGACGAAACAGCTGGAGAAGGATAACGGCGAACTCAGGAACCAGAGCTTACAGCTGGTGCGTACAAAGCTTGGGTCTGAGCAGCAGGGTGATGCTCCCATTCATGCAAGGAAGCCAAGCTGTGAGCCAAGAGCTGCCTCGACTGCTGCTGCTGTTCCTATATAGAGGAACATATGTATTTCTTTCTAGAGGAATGATATTGGTGGAGAGAATGCAAGTGATCCCATTTCTTGGAGACCTTTGTTTGACTCTAAGAAATGCTGAGATGATGGTCGGCTGTGGCCTCAGCTGGCCTGACATTGAACGTGGATCTTGCTGGCCAAGACACTTGTGTTGTGTAGTGTTTGCCTCATGGTGGCCACAACCCTTCTCTTCAATTCAGGATTAAGGTGGACAGGGGGAAAATTTGGGTGCAGAGGTGTTTAGTTATGCTGGGTGATAAGRCAAGTTCCAACAAAGCTGGCCACCTCCTGCTGCGTTAAGCGGGGAATACAGGACGGTTTTCGTGGTGCTTGACTTGAGTTTAAGAGGATGAGAAGCGTGGCCCTTATAAAGACATGCCTTGTGCCTCGGGTAGGGGGAAACAGCAAAAGTCTTTTGATCTGTTCATCCTGTGTCTTGGCAGCTGAAGGCACGGTGTGAAGAACTGAAGCTGGATTGGTCTACACTGTCCCTGGAGAACTTGCTGAAGGAGAAGCAGGCCTTGAAGAATCAAATTTCAGAGAAACAAAAGCACTGTTTGGAACTGCAGGTAGAGAGCAAGGCAGGAAAAGGGTCTAGAGTCACCAGCTTGGGTTAACTCTTGGGCAGTAGGCCTGTTAGGGTGTTTGATTAAATATGATATTAAGGGTAAGCTAGCCGGTTGTTACACTTTTTCTAGATATAAATATTTTGGAGGGTTTTGGTAAAATTGAGACAAACAAAAAATACAGGTCATTTTTTGACTCTCGAAGTAATTAAAGGAAGCAGATACTATGGCCTGATTCCCTTGTAGTGCTGTGAAAGACGAAATCATGGCTCATTAAAACCATTAGAAATCTTGACCTAATGTAAAAAGCAGGAATGGCTTCAGTGTCCTCTGTGTGTTTTGAAGGTTCAGTTCAGAGATTGGTTTCCACAGAATATCAGTTAAATAAAAATAAATGAAACTGCTGTGACCACAGAGGTTTCTTTCCTCCTTGTGAGATGAGCTTTAGAGAGACTTTTATTTTTGACCTGTCATGGGATGTTGCTTTCCTTCTGTGACTGGCAGTAGTGAGTTAGGCTTTACTTCTTAAACGTGTGTATGTGTGTGTGCATGTGTAATATATAAGTTTATATCGGAGGTACCTTATGTTTGCTTCCAAAAATATAGAAGTGCTTTCTAATAGTCTCTGAGTCATTCCCCCAACCTACATCTTTTGATTGTAGAAAATGAGAGGAGCCTCTTGAGATTTGATTGTAAAATTGTAGGTCACTTCTTTTGTGTTATTCCCAGAAATAAATGAAACTATTTCTGAGAAGTCTGTGATGGCAAAACWGCATAATGTGTTAGAATTCTTCAGTATGGTCTTTAATCGTTGTCCTCCTCTTCATTTAAAGATCAGCATTGTGGAACTTGAGAAGAGTCAAAGACAGCAGGAGCTCCTGCAGCTGAAATCGTATACACCGTCTGATGAGTCACTGTCAGTGCAGCTACGCAATAAAAACCATCTGAGCCGTGATCCTGAGGCTGAGCATGGCAGGTTCCAGCTTGAGCTYGAATGCTCTAAATTCCCTGTCCCCCACATCAATGGCATGAGCCCAGAGCTGTCCATGAATGGCCATGCTACTCCCTATGAAATTCATAATACTTTCAGCAGGCCTTCCTCCAAGCAGAACACCCCTCAGTATACAACCTCTCATCTGGACCAAGAAATAGTTCCATGTACTCCAAACCACAACAGCAGACAGAAGGCAGACAAGATGACAAGCTTGTCCTTACCCGACTACACCAGGTTTTCCCCTGCTAAGATAGCACTAAGGAGACACTTGAATCAAGACCATGCAGTCAATGGAAAAGCAACAACTAATGAGATACAGAGGTGAGAGAGATCATTTCCTAGGAGGGGAAAAGAGGGGTTGCTATATTTGTTTTTGGTAAAAGTAGTTTATTCGGATTGTGGAGAAATAGTTTTGAATGTTTCTATATACTTAAAGCTTTAGATCGTAAATCARTAAAACCAGCAGTGCCAACTGATCAGATATAAACGAGATCATATAGTGCTTTGTGTTTGGTACAGCAGTGCCTTGTATTCTAACCATTTTACATGTCTGTTCTAGAGCTGACCATGTAAAAGAGAATGGCCTTACATATCCAAGCCCTGGTATTAATGGCATAAAGCTGAGTCCTCAGGAAACTCGGCCCTCTTCCCCAGCGGCCTTACCAATTGCAGGCGAGAAGGTAAGAGACGATCTGTTTAAGCAGGGCTGCAAGGACCTCACACCTGCCAGAGCAACGAGTAACCAAGAGAAGCAAAGGCTGATTCTCTGTCCTATGGGCACCTTGGTGTCGAGTGTAACACAACTAAAGAGCAAGGGTGGTAGAAAGAAGGGACTGGCTAGAGGAGGAGAAGACGGAGGGCATGAAAGAGACTTTCCTCAGAGGTACTGGTTCGCGTATGAATTACACCAGTAACACAGTATTACTTTTGGTTTGGTCTAAATCTGTTTCTACTTCAATGTGAGATTATATTTCATTTTTAAAAAAGAAAAAAAAAAAAAAAAAAACTTTTCTGCCACATGGTTGGTCCTGCCCGTGGATCCTTGTTTCAGAGCAAGGAAGAGCCCTTCAGCAGCAAGTTACCATGGAAATCTCCCTGGCTGCTACCTCTTCTGCATACAGAGCACCTCAAGATAGAAATGTTGTCAGATGAGTGCTTTCTACAGAGCTCTCACAAAGACACTGGGAAAATGGGCTTGCCTAAAGCATGCTTTTCCTTATGCTTTTGTGACTAACWGCAGCTGGAATTTACATGTCTTTCTACACAGTCAGATACTCCTGTCCTGGTAGTTTGGAGTTGCTGGGCAAGCTGTCTTTGCTTTTATGGTCATCCCTCTTAAGCATGTAGTTCTTATACAACCATATGCAACTAAATGAGCAGGTTACTGTTAGTTTTTACAAAGTCTTTCCAGTAATAGCATACAGTTAAACGCTACTTTTTTTCTTTTTTTTTTTCCCAATTGCAGGTTTTGAGAGAGAGAACCTCTGTGAGTAATGGAGAAACTATCACCAGCCTACCTATCAGTATTCCTCTCAGCACAGTGCAGCCCAATAAACTCCCTGTTAGTATCCCTCTGGCCAGCGTAGTCCTACCTAGCCGTGTTGAGAAGGTGGTGAGTAAGGGATTGTCAACGCTTTCCATGCCTAACTGAAATCCCCCTGGGAAGTAATGGTGTCTTCTGCACCAGATCCTGAGCGGGCTGCTGACGTGGGCTCTCTGTGATGCTTCGGGGGAGGCTGCTGTTGGTTCTTAGTTGTTCTCTAGGTGGAGTTGGGAACATTTCATTCAGAAAGGAAAGTGAACATGTGCATCAAAAGCACAAACTCTGACTTGGTGGGAAAGTACCAGTGTTTGAAGGTATGTGGGTCTGAGAGCCTCACAAGTAAACGTGCTCTTGGCCCTTACCTCCTTGTATGGCACTAAGGGGACAAATTCTTCCACCTCACTTTGTCCATACATAAATTGTAGATTTTTTTTTTAATCTCATGAGAGTGTGGGGTGAATGTGGACAGTGCTTCCCTGCTTTTACAACTGCAGGGTTTTTTTCAGGCCATCTCTTTCCGAAAGTTTGCCCGTGTACCTTTCAGAGGTGGAKCAAGTTCAAATAGGCTCGGTCCTGTTTCCAGTACAGCCCTGATGTGAAAGCAGTGAATGATTCTTGAGTGCTGTGAATTTAGAATCTAACCCAAGTAATCACCAGCATTACGGTCCTGGATTTGAAAAGCTGGAGTTTGTTTCATAATCTTCAATCCATTATCTCATTCCAGCCACAGACTTSGTAGCTGTAGCATGACTAGAGTCTTCCCAGCTCCAAGGAGAGGTGGTATCTCCTCAGAAAGACTGAATAAAGGGGCAGAAACTGTCAGCTCTGGGCCACCTCTAACTTGAGCATGTTATTTATTCAGGCTGGCGTTTCACAACTCTTGTGCCTCGTTTTGAAAAGCGCCACTTGTTTATAATACCTCAGAGAGAGGAGCAGGCAGTGTAGCCTGGTGCATCCAGGCTATTTCAGGATTGTTTTGGGGAACCTGGTGTATAGCAGCTTTGGGATGTGCTACAGCCACCCGCTTCCTTTCTGTCTGCCTGTGACACAGGGGCCTGAGGCGTTTGTTCCCTGACCTCTGTGCTCTCCTCCGCTAGAACTTTGTGGGACAGTGAGCCTGTTCTCTCTGCTTTTGCATGGTCATATCATCGTCATTTATTTTTGTCCCGTAATATGCTGATATGATGTTTTTCCACAAAACAAGCAAAATCTAGGGCAATTAGGGAAGCCGAGCCACTTCAGTTGATAGATATACTAATGCATGTGAATTTGATTTAAAATTGGTGGCTTTTGAGTGTGTTTGTTGGACTGAAACGTTTGTTTCTCTCTCCCCAGAGAAGCACACCCAGCCCAGTTCATCAGAATAGAGACTCATCGACACTTGAAAAGCAGATTGGTGCTAGTTCTCATAATGGTGTAAGCAATGCTGCTGGAAACAAGCCTCTGGCTTTGGCTACCTCAGGTAACGGCCTCCTCTGCGTGAAGCTGCACCGTGTCCCCGTGGCAGCACCCACGGGTGCACGGGTCCCTGTTCTGGCGCTTCAGGTCACACAGTAAATGCGTGTCCTGTAAGGTGACCCAGGAATCATGCATCTTGCACGATGCTGTTCTGAGACACTTTACATGCCTTTTAGTATGGAGCAGTTGTTTGAAATTGCCTTTTTTGTCCGAACTGCAGCAGCTTGCGGTATAAGCCAGTACTTCCTTTTGTGAACTCTACATGCATGAAGACAGTCTCACCTTTACACTGCAAAATGCTTTGCACAGCTGTGCTTCCAGCTGAGCTGCCTTGGCAAGTTTTGTTTTCACAGTATGGTAGGGCTTTTCAATGGCAAGATTAGTTCCCTGGTGCAGTCACAGTGGTGTCTCACGAGCAGGCACAAGTACTAGGRTAGCTGGGCATGGAGGGGAGAGGGCAGGGATACTTCAAGTGTAAATACTGCTTCTCAACTGGCTTATCTGTTGAGATTCAGCTGCTCAGGACACAGAGACCTTGTGGACCAAGAAAACTAATTCCTAGCATACAGAGCTGTTCAGCAGCAGATCCCTCACCAGACATTTGTCCTTTCTGTTTACCGCTCTCTGGGGGCTTGCGTTGTTGCTAGCATCTATTTTGCCCCCCCCCCAAAAAAACAAACAAACAAACAAACAAACAAAAAAAAAACCCAAAAAACCCAAAAAACTTTGAGTTCTGTTTAAAAGCTGGCTAGGCCGTGGGATACGTGAATTTTCTGAAGGTGCCAGAGCAAAGAGCCCTGTGTCCAGAGCAGCCGGGCAGCTTCCTGCAGTCCCTGGCTGCTCCACTGCAGGTGCAGCTGCRGCCACCCTTGCCATGGCTGCAGTCTAGCACTGGGACCTGTCGCTSAGCACCAGCACTGACGTTTACTTTCCCTTCAACAGGTTTTTCTTACTCTTCTGGCTCCGTGGCAGTCAATGGGACTCTTTCCAACAGCCCAGCCCATCTTAACCATAGCGTTGATCAGGCAGCTCTGGATGACTCTGGGAGTCTCTTTAACTCGGTAGGGTCTCGGAGTTCCACTCCACAACATCCGTTGCTAATGATGCAGTCAAGGAACTCCGGGCAAAGCTCCCCTGCTCATCAGCACTCGACAAGCCCCAGGTTAAATGGCACCTCCCAGAGCCTCGTGGGGGTCTTGCAGTACGCAGACGCCCAGAAGATGTTTGCCGAAGGAACAAAGGGGGATCTTCAGTCTGATGCGGCGTTTTCAGATCCTGAGAACGAGGCCAAGAGAAGAATCATCTTTACGATCTCTCCTAATACAGGACATGTAAAACAGTCCCCTTCCAACAAGCACAGCGCTCTGCCCCCGGCCGCTCGGTTGGACTGTGGCCAAGCGCACGCGCAGGATGGGAAGAAGCGAGGGCGGCGGAAGAGATCRTCTGCCGGGAACGTCGGCGGGAGCTCTGGTGTCTCCCCTAAGCGCAAATCCCTCCCGACTGTGTCGGGCCTCTTTACGCAGCCATCGGGTTCGCCGCTCAACATTAACTCCATGGTAAGGGCAGAGATGCAGAGCTCCAGCAAAACAGGAGGGCCCGGGAAGCCCCTTTGAGTTAGAAATAGGTGCTGGTTGCTCCGTTCTTTTATGTACCCATTGTAATGGCTAAAACTGGCACTTTTACAGAGCTAATGGCTAAAACTGGCACAAAGAGCCTATCAGAACCTATATGAGAATGGCCTTTGTGAGAGGCTGGTGAATTTAAGAAGCTGAGGACCTATTGTAGGGTCAGAAGATATTCAAGGAGGGTTTTTTCTATCAGAACCTTAACTATTAAAATAATCTTGTAATTTTCAGTTCAGACCATTATGGCACAAAGCTTGTATCTTCAGCAAAGTGTTTTTTAAGGCTGTAGATTTGCTTTAAGACAGCCTTTGCCCATAGCTCTAGTGCAGTGCTCAGCATGCATACGCCCTGTTCTATTACCTTGAACATGATGCTGTGTTTTAAAGGGATGCTCTTCTCCTTACCCGTTTTCTTTCCTTCCTGACCAGGTCAATAACATTAACCAGCCTTTAGAAATAACAGCCATTTCCTCTCCTGAAAACTCCCTGAAGAACTCTCCTGTTCCTTACCAGGACAATGACCTGCCCCCCGTGTTGAAAAAGGAGAAGCCGCTTGTGCAGAGCAATGGTGTCCATTACTCCCCGCTAACGTCGGATGACGAGCAGGGATCTGAAGACGAGCACAACAGCACCAGGTGAGCGTGCAGGCACAGCCACCACCAGGAGATTTTCCTGGGGGTTTTAAAGCAGACGAGTGTGGTGGGTCTGTTCTCTCTGCTGCCTTTCCTTGGAGAATGATTCCACGAGGCCATGTGGGAGGCTGAGGTTATGAATCAGAAAGTTACTTAGGAAGTGGCGCTTGAACAAGTGGCAACCTATTCTTGCTATGGATCTTTGTAAGAAATAGTATAGAAATGATCTTTTTTTGTTTGTTTATTACTGGTTGTAGCAGTTATTGGGGCCACGAATATGACTTTTAACCAAGAATCTGTCTCCCTTTCACTSCCTGCTTTCAGCTTGATCAAGAATTCTTTACTTCCTACCCCAAAATGTTGTTTTGCTCTGAATATTGCTACATTCTACCTGCATGTGGATGCAATGGTTTCTTTTTCTTGCTGGAGGCACCAGAAAAGTAACCAATATTGAGATGATAGCAACAGCCTATTTMTTCTCATGAAACTAGAACAACAGCTAAGTTGTCTGAACATAAAATAATCTTGAAAAAGAGTGCAAAGTTTTAACAACTTCTACTCAGAGCTTTTGGTGGATTAAAAAGAAAAATGTTTTTAAGTGCTTCTAGGAGCAATATGCTTTCATAGACGACTTGCTTCTATACTCTAGACAACTGTTAAGACATGCACATAAAGAAGATAAGCTACAAGGGTAATGTACCAACAATAAGACTACAATCAGTGTTGTAACATTTTTTTTATTTTCTCACCAGAATTGAGAGGAAAATTGCAACGATATCGCTGGAGAGCAAATCTCCACAGAAGACTGTTGAAAATGGTAGGTGTCAGGAACATTAATCATTCGTTTTAATGGTTAGAGTCGGTGTGAGGAACATGAATCATTCGTTTTAATGGTTGGAGTTGGAAAGGGGGGGGTTCTTTTTAAGTGGAGAGCAGGCTTTTCTACACTTGCGTACTCCCGAGCAGCCTGCACCTCTGCTGGGACTCTCCATAGTCATCATTAAGACGCATGACTGATATTTACAGGGCTTGGGTCAGTGCTTTCTGTCTCCATCTGACCCAGGGTTAGGGAAGAGGTTTGTAGTGCAAAGACTGAGGAAAGAGTAGATCAGCCTTGGGCTTTATCAGAGCACTGAACTAGGTTTGGAGCTCGGTTAGGTGACTTCTATCGAGTATTTCTGCCCTTGAATCAAATAGAATTACAGCCTGATTAAATATGGGTGCTGGGGAGGAGGAGAGGAAGCAAAACAAAAAAAAAAAACCTCCCTGTTCTTCATAAAAAGACTCAATGAAAGCTGTTCTTTGATATTTTTGTTACCTTTTCTTTCAAACCAGGTGGCAGTTTACCTGGGAGGAAACAAGCACAAACCAACGAGAGCATGAACAGCAGTAAATGGAAATCGACTTTCTCACCAATATCCGACATCAACCTGAGCAAAACTACAGACGGCCCCTTGCAGTCGGCTTCCTCTCTGAGCCAGAACTCGCTCTTCGCCTTCAGGCCTCCCGCTGAGGACGGCCTGGCCATGGAGTCCAAGATCGCGGCCCACGCGAGGAAGAGCGTTGCCGGGCCCTCCTGCGGGGCGGACGGGCTCAGCGCCGCCACAAACCCCGCGAATGGATTCACGTACAACGGGGCACTCTCGACAGACATGGGTTTGCACAGCTTTATCGACGGTGCTTCTCTTCCGCATAAGGCTCCGGACGGGGCTTCCAGCTGCTCGCTGGGGTTTCAGTCCCAGCGGGGCAAAGATGGGGGCGGATCGGAAACCAACCCTTTTCTGAACAAGAGGCAACTCGAAGGCCTCAGCAGCACGAAAGGAGAAGACTTGAATCGGTCAGGGGTCAAAAGCAAGGAGATCAGCGAAATAARCATCCGTGCTGGGGGTTCTTCGGAGAAAAACCCTTTGCAGCATAACGGAAAGGTCGGCAAAGGAAGGGACCGAGATGTGGAGTTCAAAAATGGCCACAACCTTTTCATTTCTGCTGCTGTTTCCTCTGGTGGCCTTCTGAATGGTAAAAGCCTTTCGACTGCTGTTTCTTCAGCAGGCAACCCAGCGTCTTCTGTTCAGCCACACCATCCTTTCCTAAACGCTCTGACCACTGGATCGCAGTTCCCCCTTGGCCCCATGGCCTTGCAAGCAAACCTCAACTCAGTGACAAATTCCTCAGTATTGCAGTCCTTATTTAATTCAATGCCAGCTGCTGCCAGTCTGGTCCACGTGTCATCAGCTGCAACCAGACTGACTAATTCTCACACTATGGGGAACTTCTCTCCTGGGGTTACAGGTGGAACAGTTGGAGGTAGGCAGAACTCTTTCTCTGGTATAAGACAGGGCCTAAAGGAAAGTCTGACTCTGCCTCTCCAGGGGTGAAACCCTTTCACTTCTGCAGGATGTGAAGCAGATCTGTCCCACATAACCTGTCTCCTCTGTCTCTTGGAAATGCTAGGATGAGTGCAATTCCCCACAGTGAAATCTCATGAGCTTTGTCTACTAGATGAGCATGTTGTATCACCTTAATGAAAGAATACACCCAGACTGTGTGATTTCATAATGTGTGCTTGTTCAGATGTTGCTGTGTTGGAACCAACTTAGGGCTGCCTGCAGGTAAAGATTTTAACTTGTCATGTTACCAAGTTAAGGATCTCTAACTTGACAACTTGACGAAAGGTTGAGAATTAGGCCTGGAATGGATGTGGCAGGATCCAGGAAGAGCAAAAAACTCAGTATCTCTGCAGAGGAGATGGTGTTGGGAATTGCGTAGCGTTCTGGCTCTTGAATGGATACGAAGAGCATTCCTTTGCCAGGAAGGGCAATGCCATATGCACCTTGCACTTCTGAGGTTCTGCACAGGCTTGGCCTCTGTGGCCCAAACTGGAGACAAGCTGGCAGGAGCAGAAGATAGTCTGAACCTGCCAGAACTCTAAGGGTCAAAGGCAGTTTTTCTCTTACCTGTCCATAATCATTCAGGCACCATGTCGGGAAATCCTAACTCTCACATCTCTCAGCATGTAGATTTGCTGGAAATACAATCTCCCCTCTGCTGCCCTGTAAGTGGGAAAGCAGGAGGGTGGGGAGGGAAGAGCAGCAGTTTGAGTCTTCAGATAAACAACTCTAGAGACCACGTAATCTCATCAAAAGTCCACCCGGGTGGTGTAGCACTGAAAGTTCTTGGGTCTGACCATTTTTCCTCGTGCCATTTAGAGGGTGGCAGTAGGAAAGGTAAGTGAAATCTTTTGTACCTCCTGGCCTGCACCATTATCTCTCATTGCTTGCTGCTGTCTCATGCTGCATATTTTTGTATGGGGCTGTAACGACTATAATTTTGCTTGGTTTTGTTTGGTTTTGTTTTCTTTGTTTTGCTTTGTTTGGTTTTGTTTCTCTTGTCACTTGAGACTGTACAAAGCCCGTCTGTTGAAGCTGAGTTTTTCTCTCCTGTTTGCAGGTATTTTTAACCATGCGGTGCCTTCTGCCTCCTCTCCTCATCAATTTGGAGCCAGTTTCAGCAGCAGTGCTGTCTCTAGCAGCACCGTGCTAAGCTTAAACCCTCTGCAGGCTGTGGCCAGCACCTCCTCCCCATCCTTCCCGTCCCCCGCTAACTCAGTAACCCCTAGCGAGAGCAGAGGCGCCCAGCAGCTCCGCCGGGCGCCGGGGCAGGCTGTCTTCCCCCCCGCTCCGCCGCCTCCTAACGTCTCGCTGCCCCCTCCGCCTCCGTTGCTTGCTCCTAACCCCGAGCCCGCGCTTCTGCAGCCCCTGCCGCCCGGCGACGCTTTCTCGCCCTCCTCTTCCGCTTCTGCCCAACCTGCTAACGCTTCTTTGTCTATTAAGCTTGCTTCTCTGCAGCACAAACCCTCCCGCCCCTCCTTTACCGTCCACCACCCGCCTGTGCCCCGCTTGGCGCTGGCACCGCCGGCCACCGCGCAGCCCAACGCAGCCGGCACGTCCGCTATGTGGCTTGCCCTGGGCATGCAGCCTCCTTACGCTTCGCACCTTTCTGGGGTTAAGCCACGATAAGGAGCTTGCTTAGCTAACGGTTCTTGTTTTGTAAGGTAAGGCTAGAGGAAAAAAAAAAAAAAAAAAAAAAGCAGGGGTTGCGTGCGAGATGCTCAATGACGCCTCTTCCTTTGCAGAGACAGGGTGGGAAGGGGCTCAGGGAAAGAGCTCCGAGCTGGGGGAAGGCCTCGTGGCAGAGGATGGAGAGTCTGAATGCTTCTTGGTTGGGAGTCAGGATTTCTCGACACGGAGCGCTCGCTGTGCTGACTCGGGTCTGTCTCCTCCCACGTTAGGATTMTGTTCAGGCTGGGATTGCTTCTTGAGAACTTTTTTTTTTTTCCCTTTGACGATTCGAAATCAGGAGGAAATGTCTATTTTTTAGGTATGTTTTTATACGGATGTTGGAGATGGTTGTTGCCCACTCCAGTTCCCCCTGCCCTTGCCGTGCGAAACGGTTGCCTCCCCGGCACGTCCACGTCCCTGTCGCACGGGGCCGCGCACAAGGGCGCTCTGTGGCAGCGTGCTCTGGTTTCTGCAGCGTCAGGCAACAACAGCCGCTCTCAATACTCAAAAGCCAGGAAGTGTCCAGGTTTTAAGTTGCAGCTTTGCCTTGCAAAGCAAACACCCTGCTCTTGCGCTGTTGCTCGCGCGGCCCTCGCCGCCTGCAGAGCGGCGCAGCGGGAGCAGGTGGGACCCGTGGGTGGCACGGGCAGGTCCGGAGGGTTGTGCGGAGCTGGGACGGCCTCGGTGCCCGTGCTCCGCGTCCTGCCCACGCTCCCGCCGCCTCCCGCGGGCGCTGACTCGCTGGGGAGGCCAGGAAGGAGAAGACAGGGCGAGCCCAGGGGTAACTGCCCTCCAAGAGAGGACCATCTCGGGACAGCACACGTGTCTGCTCGGGGGTCCCAGTGCGCCATGCCAGAACCGAGCGTCCCCGCGCAGAGCTGGGTGCTGCTGTTACGCAAATCCGCTGTGGTGTTATGATGTAACTCATGATTGCAATGAGTTTGTGAGGCCCCAGAGCTCGCTCCGTGCTTTCGTGTAGGTCTCTGTTACTGTTGCTGTTCATTGATACCAAAGTAACCTACAGTATATGATTGAATTCGCTTTGCCGCTTATAAAACATTTGACTCAACCTCACTCTACCCGAGAGATTCTTTCGACTGTGCATTGTGTATAGTGTTTTCATCATCAAACTTTTCCACCATCAAACTGTTGCTTGAAAAATCCTCACGTAGGCTTTTTGTGAGGCGGGTAAGTATGACTCCGGTACTGCTAAGCCAGAAAATGAGGTTAATTTGGAGTAATTTGAGGTTGCCTCACTTGAGTAACGAGGTTAAATTGGAGTACAGTCATTTGGCCCATGTGCACTAGCAGGGACTAGTGCAGAATCGCGGGAGGTCTGAAGGCCACCAGGTGAAAATCAGAGTGGGGAAATGGGATGAGGAGCTTTAGACCTTGCACGTTGTACATGCGTGTGACTGCGGTGAGAGCAACGTGGAAGTCTTCTGCTGGAGCAGTTGCCTTCCCAGAAATGGGGGTCACGCTGTGCTAGGCAGCAGATGTGCAGCGCGGATGCACGGGCGCTGTGGTCCAGCACGGTGCTTCTCGGACACGGGTCAAGGGTTTGAGCAGTTGCAGTGGTAGGAATGCCTGCGCTCGAGGACCTCGCTGAGCTGGGGCTCAAATCTGGAACTGGGAGCTAAAATAATCTGCTTGGTTTCTCCCCATGTTTCTGAAGCTGGATGACGACCCTGCCCCATGGGAATTAAAAACAARAATAGAAACACAGAAAGGGAGGGTGTGGAGATCAGTGTGTTTTAGGGGAAAAAAAGCTGAAGTACTGAATGCAGGAGCATTTTTGCCACTCTTTGAGGTCAGTCACATGAGCTTGATTTGATGACGGCTCTTGGAGGCCTCCTTTATGTCTGATTGTGACTGGCTCAAGGCAAGGATCATCCTTTCTGCACTGGCTGCCAGGTCTCAGTACAATGTGGACTTGATTGTCACATCAAGTGACATCAATGTGGACTTGATTGTCACATCTAACCTACAGTAGAGTTTGTCTCTTATTGAGATGAGTCTCTTCCTCTCCTCCTGTTGTGCAGGTAACTAGGATTTCTACCTCAACCCAATGTGACCTATGCAAGGACATCGTGGACCAACTTCACTCGGCTTCCACTGAAAGGTGCTCACCTGGCCTGTGCAGGGGTTTCTACTTTTACTACTGGACAAAATAAAAACACACAGCAGAAAAAAACAGCAGAAAAAAAACCACAATATTTACTGTGAATCGGAGTTTAAAAAAGAAAAAAGAGAAAAAAAAAGCTTAAAGCTCCAGTTTGTATTGTTGATAGTTTAGATAAAGTATTTATCTTTTTTTAAAGTGAAAACAAAATTGACTTATTTTATTCCACCTAGAGTCATAAATACAACTTATTATTAAATCCTCTGAATAATAAAGGACTGGCACACCAGCAGAGATATCAAGAGCCTCCTCTCGGTGCTATTTCATCCGTCAGAACTGTGCCTCGAGTTTGAATCCTTGGTGCTGAATTCAGAGGGCTGCCCAGTGCCAAGCCCAGCTCTCGGAAAGGTCTGTGTTTTATTTATTCAGCTCGCTCTGTTCACATCCCAAGGAGGCGCGTGGTTCACGGCAGCCTGAGCTTAACTGGGTGCAGCTTAACTGGGTGAGCTTAACTGAGCGTAACTGTTTAACTGTGYCCATGGCGCGCGAGAGCTCAGTTCTCCCCTCTGCAATGGCAGCTACGTCCCCTGGCTGGAGCCAGGCAAGCTCAGCCCAGTCAGGCACAGTTTAAACAGGAGGAATTCGAGTCCTGCCCCATTGAAACTACTTCCCTGGGCCATTTGCAGTCGCTGGTGGCACTCAAGTCACTGTGAATTTCGGTAGTTAGTCTGGTCGCTTTGTTTTGGGATGTCATTGGCATATGAACAGGGTGCATAATCACTGGTGTTGGTCATGCCCTTCCTACCGACCTTGGGTAGACCAAAAATGGTGCTTCTGCACTGCTGCAGGTAGCATATTTTCTCAGCTCACTGTTTTTGTTCCAAGTACGATGTATTTTGTTAGTAGGGTTTTGATACTTGATTCAGAAATGGCTTAGCCGTGTCCATTGATTGACTACGTGCGTTTTGCTTTTGTATTTCTTTGCTTTAAGTAGGTCTAAATGGTAGTTCACAAAAACACCCCAGTCTAGCTTAACGTGCTGCCGCCCTCCAGCTGGTGCATTGCGTTGTATTGTGACTTGGTGTTCCGTGTACAGAAAGGGCCGCTCTGAGCAGCGGCCGTATTTTATAGAAATGTGATGAAAATTTATAAATTTCATATACTTTATTTCATTTATTTTTAGATTGTACAATGCACAGTAAACTTGTAAAAAAAAAAAAGAAAAAGAAAACTTATTTATTCAAGTGCACAAAATGGGGAGAAGGATGTTGCGTTGCGTAGAGATCGCCTGGTCCGTAGCTCAGCCGGGACCGAGCGCCGGTGGAGGAAGCTACGGTAGAAGAGTGGGGAATTGCAGCCACGGGAGGACTGCATGGAGTAAGAACACGTAACTGCATCTGTTGGTGGCCCTGGGGTGCGAGTGGGAGCTTTGCCTTGGTCAGCTTTCCCCGACGGTCGTGGAAGAGCAGGGAGGATGCGACGGGATGCGGTGCTGCTCTCTTGAGCAAGGTCCCCGGGCAGGGAGCGTGGGCCGCGGCCTCGTGCGTGCGTTCCCCTTGCAGAGAGCGGGATCCGTCTGTCCCTCGCTGTGGTCTGCACRGAAGGGTCACCCTCGGTGCGAGGATGGAGGTGCTGGCCGCCGTGGGGGTGTCTGTGGTGTCCCAGGGCTCTGCAGACACCCGTGACCCGCGTGGGGTGAACGGACAGGGGGGTTTAGCTGACCGGCGGTTCGGGCTTGGCTCGTCCTTTGGAGAAGTCCGTGAGGCTGCCGAGGGCTTGGAGCACGCTCCGCTTGGTGCTTCCTCTGCCTGTTTGCCGCGAGCTCGGGCAAGGTCACTTTGCTTTAGGGTGCAGAAGTTCTTGGAGGCCGTGGGAGATGAGTAAGAGCTCCAGTCCACACAGCTGCAAGTAGAAAACCCTTGAGATCTTCCCATGCGAGCGCAGGGCCGGAGCCGTGAAACTGCTTTCAGTAACTGGAGATTCGTTCTAGTAAGCAGAGCCAAAACAGGGAGTTCTGGTCCCARTTCTTGCTGGGTCAGAGCTCCCTGCCCTGAGTCCAGCCACCTCACGGCTGTCACAAACGTTCCTTTCCATCCGCGTTGCTGCTGCCAGCAAGGGGCTCAGCGGGAGGTCCAGGCGCATCCCTGCTGCTCGGTGTGGTGCCGCGGTGCCGGCCCGGTGCGCACTCAGACCTGCCGGGGGGCCGGGGAAGCAGGAGCGCGTCCCGCTCCACGTCCCGCTCCGCATCCTGCTCCGTGTTGTCGCGGCTCCGTGTCCTGYTCCATGTCCCGCGCCGTCTCGTTGCGGCTCCGCATCCCACTCCGTGTCATCACGGCTCCCACTCCGCGCCCTGCTCCACGTCGTCGCGGCTCCGGGTCCCGCTCCSCGTCGTTGCAGCTCCGTGTTCCTGCTCCGTGTCATTGCGGCTCTGCATCCCKCTCTGCGTCACTGTGGCCCCACGTTGTCGCGGCTCTGTGTCCCGCTCCGTGTCCCACTCTGTGTCATCGCGGCTCCGCGTCCCGCCGTGGTCCCCAAYGCGGTGCTGCTGGTGGCGGCTCTGCCGAAGGAGCCAAGTCCTGCGGTTGCTCCCCGCGCGGCTCCATGCGGGGGCCTTGCAGGATCCCCCCCAAACCGCCAGGGCCTCGCCCGGCCGCACCGCCCTTCCCAGGGGAATTGTGCATCAACCCAGCGCCCGGCGCTCGGGGCTTGGGCTTGTCCTGGGCAGCCCGTGGGGCTCCGTGTGGGGCGGGCGCCGTGGGACGCAGCCAGGCCCGCGACGCCTCCCCCTTATCGACACACAGCCCTGCATATAAACATATTATATATATATTTTAGAGATGGAAACCTCCCAGCTAATACAGGTGGTCAACTACAAAAATTCTGCTTTTATCGTTTTGCCTGAGCTGCAAACATTTGCAATGGGCTGCAAGCTAGTGTTGATGCAGCTCCAAATGGCACCTCGGGGAGAAGGAACTAAGTGTTTTTGTGAACTATCTTGGCAGCACTGAGGAAAGAAACGCGGGAATTGGGGTTCTGGTGCAGATGTGCAGGCGGTGTAGGAATATTGGAGGTTTAGGGCTGACTGTTGCGCTTCTTCCCCCTTTGCTTCTCTCCGACGTTTCCRTAGCTCCCACATAGGAGTTTCACTCAAAGTTGGATTTAAAAAAATTTCTGTTGTGCCATATTTTATTTATCTTTTTGCATTATATATATTTAGACTGAATTATGCTATTTTTGTGAACTTCAGGGTTTGAACCCAAAGGAAAAAAAATGCAATTGGAGATACTCCTCCAGGTAATGCCTGCAGWCCCTCATTCTGAAGCGGTTTCGGGAGATTTTTTTTATAGTTTGAAAAATAAAATCCAATTTTCAAACTGTTTTTAAAATGCTGACCCTGAAGTTCTCAAGTCTCTGATCCTTTGGTGGTTGGTTTTGTTTTTGTTTTTTAAGGTACATATGGTTGTTTTTTCTGGTGCAGTTAAATCAGCCTTTAGAAATGTCCCGTTTCTGGAGTTAATGAGACGGAATGGGTTGATCCATCCTGCTTGGCCTTTTTTAACCTGTTAATCTTTTAAGCGATGGATTTCAAATGAAAAACCATTTCTTTTAGGTCTCTGTTCTACGTAAACCTTGTAGGAGTGGGAGCCGGCGCTGGCCGAGTGGGGCTCGGATGGGGGCGGGAGGTGACGAGGTTGCTGTTGCTCAGGAATTGATTAGTAAACTTTTAACTACTAATAAAAATCCATTTTGCAATGGATTTTTTTAAAAAAATACCCATTTTCTTAGAACAGTGATATGGGATGTTTCCTAGTGATAGGAATTAGTTTATATAATTTAGCTTATTAAACTGAATTATTTAAAATTCAAACTTCCCCTAATTTATCTTTTTTGTTTTGGGTTTTGTTTTTATTTTTTACTGGTAAGTTGTCCTGTCATCCCTCTCATTCTTCCATAGAAGCAGTGTGAATTCTTCTGGTGTGTATATATGTATGTATAATATATATATATATATATTTCCACCCTCCCTTTCTAATTCTCCACGATGTACAAGTTAGGTTTTTTTTGCTTTTTGCCCTCCCCTCACTTTAATTTCTCGTGTCTTTACCTGGATTTGTAATGGAAACGATGCTTTGGAGTTCTGTCTTTCTATTAAAGTGTCTGTATTTTAATACACGGTGCCGTTGTGGAGTTTCACTGCTTCGCTGGCGCGACGCAGCTTGAAGCGGGCCCTGCATTTAGGCTCTCGCAAGCTCGCCCAAGCTTACTTGGTTCCAGCCTAGTGATTCTGCTGCAGGGTTCCTCCGCACAGCTGGAGACGCTGGTTCCTGCCCCGATGGAGACCCCGGATCCTGGCGCACKTGGGCGGCGCGGGGAGCAGGATGGCAGCCGTGCCCAGGGCAGGGAGCTCCCTCTTCCTCTCTCGCCTCTCTGAGAACAGCTCAGGGCCACAGTGATTAAAACACATCTTTATTGGAAACAGTCATTGTACAACAGATAAAACAGCTTCAGTGTATACCTTCAGGGAGCCTCATTGGGAAGGGCACCCGAACTACAAAAAGCAGAGTAGGAAAAATGAACACTTGTCTCTAAATCACCAGCAGTTGATGCAGATCTCTAATGTGGCTACAAGTACCGTCTTCCCCTGCTCGTGAGACCCAACCCAGTGTCCTGGGCCTGGTCCCGGTGCCGACCCAGCTAGCCGGGCTCCTGGGACAGCCCCCTGGAACTTTTCACAGCATTTGTCTTACATTCAGTTAATGGCACCGCTACTTCTTCAGCAAGCGCCGCGAGTCTCTCTTGCTCAGGCGCCTGTTCCCTACATCTAAGTGAAAATGCCCGTGTGAAATGCAGAGGAGGTGGGAGGCGGGCGAGCTTCCTGGGAAGCCCGATGGCCGCAGGGCTGGCGGCCGAGGCGCGGAGCTCCTCCGGGCAGAACTCCCCAGGCTCTGCTGTGAGAGGGGGACTTGGCCGGCTGAAGAGCACCCTGATCCCGAGGGCTGGGAGCCGGCCCGGGCGGCACCGTCCTGCTGGGGGACCAAGGAGCTTCGCTTGGTCCCCGAGCGGAGCCGCAGCCGCGGAGGGCACCGCGCGGCCCTGTTCTGGCGCTGCCGTAGCACTCGGGAGGCGGCCCCGGTGCGCGCATGGACAAACCCCCCGTTATCCCAGCAAAGGAGTCTGCTGCAGACCCCGCCGGCAAGTCCAGACCCCCTTCGTGCACTGAGGTAAATCACGGTAGGCTCGTGAGGATTAAAATGCACTTAGAAGTCATCTGAGGATACTAATTCCCTAAAGCACAAGCCCTGCTACATTCCTGCTTTTAATCCCTCATTGCTGCTTCCTCTAGAGGTGCCATCTGTCAGCAAAAATAATCTATTTTCTGCTTCCAAGCTCTCAGGTCCTCAGTTTGTTGTGCAGGACAGCTGTCCCTCTGCTATTTTGGTAATGGCTGGAGCAAGCACCTGGAACCACTGCAGGGAAACAGAAGATCTGGGAATAAAAAGGAAACAATCTTGGGCTTGAGGTTAGAACATGGACAGCTTCTGCCTCTCTGCTATCCCCGCGAGCGGGAGGTGCAGGCGGCAGGCCAGGCCCAGCAGCGTGCAGCCCAGGCTCTTGTTCCTGCACTAATTCCCTCTTAAAGGGTGAGAGACTTCAACTCTACCCCTGCAGTCCGGGGCGCAGCACGGGCTGCCCTCACCCGGCTCACCCGCCACGTGCTGCGGAACTGCACAGCCCAGGAGAAAAGAGCTGAAAGCCGCCCAAGCCCAGCGCTCAGGTCGACCGCGAGGGCTTCTGCTGGCTCAAGAGCAGCCTCGTGCTGCGTTCTGCTCCCGGCGATCGTGACATCCCTTCTGCCATCACCTCTGTGCAAACGTTACCTGATTTCCTGAGGGAGTGCCTGTTTCCACGAGGTGCAGCGCAGGGCTGCACCTTCTGTGACTTCAGAAGCCACCTCCTKGCCTGGCGGGACGGTGCTGCTGGCAAGCGTGGCCTCTGGCAGGCAGCTCTGTGTGCAACGGCCACGCTCCTTCCTGCGGGCGCAGCCCAGGCGGGGTGCAGAGCGCCCCGGGACAGCCGCCCTTCTTCCGTGCTGAGGGTTTCGCTAGTGGAGGCCGGGGGAGGCAGCGCTCGTTGCCCGGCGCGGGGAGAGCCAGCGCAGGTCTCTGTGACCTTGGCAGGGCCGGAGGTTCCGATCTGGCCCTCTGCGAGCTCCCAGACGGGGAGAAAGCTGCAGAGGGCTCGGGAACGCAGCGCTAGCGCACGGCTGTGAGGAGCTCCCTGGGCTGAAGTGCAGTTCCGCACGCCCTGGGGCGCAGACATGGAGCAAAAGCGCACRCAGCAGTTCCTGCAGTCAGGAACCTCCGTGTCTGGCCGTCCTCTCCGGGAAGCTGAATMACTGCAGGTCTCAGCCCAGCCCAGAGCACTGCAGCGGGAAGCAGCATCACGGGACRCGGAGCTTTCAGCCGCTGCTCTGCCCAGCGCTTTGCAGCCAGACACCATCGCCCTCCCCGGGCCCTCGGGAGAGCACTCAACACCTGCCCCGGGGGCGGGCCGGCGGGCCAAGCTTCATCAGGCCCCTAGGGATCACCAGCACCTGCCCTGGGAAGGGCAAGACCCCTCCTTGGGCAGATGCCAGGGGCTGCACAGCCATTGCTGCCGTGACACAGGGGGCAAGGCCCCTTGCCCGTGGCTGCAGCGGCGGCTGAGGTGCCAGCACGAGTCCCTGCTCCTCCCTGCTCAGCCCCTCCTGGCCTTCAGGCTCTGCYAGCAGCTGTCTCAATGCCTCAAACAGCTTTGTAACAAGCAGGAGGAGGTCACAGCGTTAACCCTGCATGGAAATGCAATCAGCTGCAGCATCCTCACGTACCGAGGGCTTCAGCAACCCTCAATAGCTCCCTTGGAGGCTGCTGGAAGAGCTGGAGTCAGAAGAACCAAGTGAATTACTGCAGGAGGGGAACAGGCACGTGAAGCGAGGCAGGGCCCTTGCTGGAGGGCAGCAGAGGCCAGGGACACTCTCCAGTCCCTGCCTCCTCTGCTCGGAGCAGGGGCCGTGATCCTCCCGCAGCGGCGGCGGTGCAAGCAGGGCACCGGGGCAGATGTGTCAGTGCAGCCCCCAGTCAGCTCACAGCTTTGGTCTACAGTGAGTGGTTAAGACTCTGGCTGGTCGGAATGTGCAATGGATTCCCTTTAAAATCATACAAAATTATTTGGCTAATAAATTAAAAACAAAAAAGTCACTTGGTCACCACTGTGGAGAACTGTTGCTCTTCCTCTCTGCAGGAGCCTGGACGTGAGGCCCGAGGGAGGCTGTGGCCAGAGGCCCGGGCAGCGCGAGCCGGGGTCACTGCTTGCGCGTCGCCAGCTGGAAGCGAGCTTCCTCGGARATCCCGTACTGCTCCAGGGGGTCCTGCAGCAAGAGCACGGCAGGGGCATCAGCGACACCGGCGCAAAGGGCAGAGCRGCAGCACTGTCCCTGCCCCAGGGGCAGTTCAGCACAGGGGCACCTCACAGCAGAGCCCTCCAGGGGCTGCGCTCTTGGTTCCTTGTGCAGCAAATCCAGCAGCCCCTGGGGAGGAGGCAACTGGAAACCAACATCCCCCGGCTGCGCTCGTGCCTCAAACATATGGGAACACAGCGGCGTTTGAGCCATGCTCAGCCTTGTGCCTGCCTCCCCGCCAAACGCCAGCGGCATCTTCCTCAGCAGAGGAAGATTCAGGTCACTGGGCTTGGCAGRCTGTTAAGGTCATGGCTTCAGGAACTGACTTATTAAGGGATCTCTTTCTACCCCAAGCAGCAAACCCCTCTGTGCAGAACAGGGAGCAGCAACACCTGGAGTCACCAGCCCCTGCTCCAGTCAGCACCTGCAAAGCCAACTGCAAAGTACCCACCTTCCCTGTCATTTTCTGGATCTCATTGCGGTAGAAAATCAAGCTCCTCCTCATGAATTCATAGCTGTAAGACAGGAACAGAATAGGCAGTGGCAGGATGAGCAGGAAAGGATGTGGGGAAGTTACAGATGCTATTTAGAGCTGAAGGGAAGCTTGCTTGGGAGGAGACAACCACTTTCCTTCCCAAGATCAGTACAAGCAAGTCGCAGAAGACAAACAGCACAGGGCTGCACAGTACGGACCTCGCTGCAGCCGCCCAGCCTACCTGGCTCGCTTGAGTGCCTCGATCCACTCCTGACACTGCTCTTCACTGTCACATTCAAAGCAGTATTTCCTCTCTGGCTCTTCAATGAAACCTGCCAGGGATGAGGAAAAGGAGTAAGACAGGAACTGAAAGGCAGAGCCACCTGCACGGTGCAGCACAGGTCGGATGGTGGCTGCAGTTAGCACCGCTGCTGGTCTTTGATGGCTATGAGCAAGCCAGTGACCTGGGCCTCTGTCCTCCCCACTCTCTGGGCCTCTCCCCTCCTGGCCTCCGCGCGGSGTTTGGGGTCGCACTCACTCCCTGGCCTCTGCAGGCAACGGCCCAGGCAGGTTTGCCTCTGCACAAGGGGCTCGTGGAGGAGTTTGCTCGGGGCACCCAACACGAGGGCACTGCAAGAAGCAGACACGCTGCTAGAGCTACTCAGYTGCCCAGTTCCCCCCGACTCGACAGCTAATCCCTGAGAGCCCATCCTCATCCAGCCAAGCTAAAGCAGAATGGGGGTGACTGCGGCCCAGAGGTGCCTGAGATACCCACAGCACCTCGCACTGCTACGATTCCTCTGTACACGGTTTGCCTGGAAAATAAAAAGGCACCAACTCCAGGGCCACCYCTGGGGAGCATCTCCCAGGTGGCCTGGGGCAGCTGCCTGCAGCAAATGGCAGCTTAGAACAGCCAGGGACTTGGGAGAGGAAAGAGCAACTTCTCAAACTGAGAGTGACAGCTGGGAATTGAATTGGGATGAACACAGCCAGATTCAGGACTGAAATTTCCTCAGCCTCTTTGCAAACAGTCACTGGAGACTTATAACCAAAATGGAAAACAGTCCCGAGGAACTGACTTGGATATAGGCAAAGAGCAGCCAGCTGAGGAATTAAACCGCCCTGAGAGAAGGCACTGCCCTGTCTTTGCTTGAGGCTTGGGGGAATTTGGTCCTGTGCACAACGAAAAGCAAGTCCCTGTGCAACTACAGCTCTTTACCGAGACAGAATCAGGACATCTGATTAATTATRTTGTTCCCAGAGACCCGCACTTGAGTACACAATTCACAGAAATGTCGGCTGCTGCTGAGGAGTAACTGGGTCAGGCTGCATCAGAGCCCTCGGGCTGCTCYGTGGGGACCCAGCCTGCCTCCAAGTGCCATCACCTTCAACATCTTGCTCAGGAAGCCTCATTCACCAGGCTCCTCACAGTCCTAAAGCCCGGGTAATTCTGTGCGTGGTGTCTGGACARGGTGGTTGCTCAGGCTGTTCTCGAGGGTCCTTTGGAGGCAGTGGAGACACRGTCCCCCCGGCTGGAAGAGGAGACCAGGCTCCGCACAGACGAGCAGCTGCGCCTGACAGCCAGGCCAAAAGATACGGGGACGGCCTTGGAGAAACATCCTGTTATTTTTGCCACATACCTCTCGCACAATGATTAGCTGTTGGATGAAAGGCTGCTTACAAAGAATGCCACCCCAGAGCCAGCTGGAGTCGCGGCTATCAACACAAGGACAAACTCCGTGGCGGGAGGACTGGCGCTAGATTAGCCTGACAGATGGTTTATCTGAGGCTGAGGGTTTTTTTGATAAAACGCAATAGCACAGAAGCAGCAATCTGTCAATACCAAGCCCTCCTCGAGAGGGATTTCCACATGCACTGAGCCATGGCCAGTGCGTTTTTACAGCTTCTTTCCTCGAGTGCAGCTGTGCGGATCACACCCACCGAGGGTTTCGGCCCGCAATGAAATGCCCCCACGGCAGGGAGGGAGCAGGGCAGCCCGCAGCAAGCACGGGCAGCTGGCACAGACAGCGCCTGGGAGGCACTAACCCCAGCGTAACCAGAGAAACACAGGGAAAAGCACCAGCTAAGCAGTAAAGTATTTCCCTTTACAGAGTCTTTCTAATTGCATAAGGGAAGCGCAAAAGCAATCCGTATGCAGCAGAACTCACTGATTGAGAAGACGTTTTCCTCCTCTTTGGTGATTCTGCAGTGCTCCAGCAGCAGAGCTCCGATGGGCTAGAAGAAAAGAGCAGGGGAAGGGGGTTAAACACAGGCTRCACAGCCCCAGGTAGGGATCACCGGGGCAGGCTGCACCCGTGCTAGCCTGGGAACACTTGGAAGGGAAAGCTGGCCAGAAGAGCTCTAGTTCTGACCTTCAGCTGGTGCTGGACTTGATGGGCAAAATCCTAGCCTTGTTCCTTTGCGGAATACAAGRGATTTGTTCAACTAACTAGGAAGGCAGCTGGAAACACGTGAGACGGATATATAGACATTGCTCACGTATTTCTCAACTCTCATTGTTCTGTTACTGCCTCTTAAGCAAGTTTAAAAACTCGATGCTACTTCTAAGGCAGCTTAGTCCAGAATTAAATGAACATTCAGCATTCTTTTAAGCAGCCTACTTTTGTCTGCTGACAGACCTTATTGTACTAGTCCTAGTTTTAACACTGTGCTTCTGCCTCCTTGGGTTTGGTGTGGGGGTTAGCATTTGCTTCTGCAGCAAGAGAATTTCCTCTCTAGATCAACAGATCAGATTAGGACAAACTCTTTCATACTGCTCAAAGACTAATGAAACGCCACGTTCAGTTTTGTCAGGCCAGACCCWAAGCTCTTCTAGAGGCTAAGAACGGTGCTGATGAGCCAGGGCAGTTTAGGATAAACAGACAACTGGTAGGTACTATTTGCCACCATGTACACACCGAGCAAGGACATGAGAACCAAGGAGCGCCACAGCCATAAACAAAAGCAAGCCACGAGTGAATTCCTTTGTCTAACCTAAACAAAAGGCAAGGCCCAAGTGGAAAAGAAGATACTCAAAACTCTGGTTTAATATATATTTCCGGCACGATGGTTTTACTTTAGCGTTAATCATCTGCCACATAATTTTGGATCCAGGCAGTAACATCCCCTGCCTTCCAGCAAAACCCACAGAAAAGCTTCAAAATAATCGTTGTCAGAATGGAAAGCAGCAAAAGGAGCCTTGGGCTGCAGCAAGGGAGACGGGCTGCGAGAAACCCTGCTAACGCCCAGACAGCTTCACACACGTCGCTGCACGCGGCGCGGGACTGCTCGGCTTTTGGCCGTACCAAGGGCCGGGACTGCTGCCTCAGGAAAGGGGTTAGTGCCTGCACTTCAGCAGGCAGGAGAAGAGCCACATCTCAAAATAAGAGCGCAGACATTACCCGGGTTACATTTTATAGCAGACACGGTCTAAAAATGCCACAAAGAGCTTCCCAATGGATTCGTAATGGCTCTTGGCAGCACGCGCGCTGCGCGTTTCTTTGTTCTGACTACACAGGTTCTCTGGATACTGGCTTTTCACTGAGAACTTTCAGCAAGTTATTAAGGGACTCACTAAAACCTACAATATCTCAGCAGTGAAACCAAACCCTGATGCTCCATCCCTCTATCTACTTTTCCAGACCAAAATAAGGTCCCCACGTGCCCAAAACACCTAGAACCACACGAGCTCCTCAGCAGCACTGAGCACTGCGTGCAAGCAGCGTTCCTGGCCAGAACAGAAGAAACGGGGCTCAGAATCTTCCCAGGAGGACACGAAACAGGGTTCCCTTGGGGCTGCGCCGTGCTCCACGTCTAAGGCTGCAGGGCCACCAGGCGGGATCTTTATAGGGCCACCAAGGGGGATCCCCGCGGGGCCACCAGGCCGGATCCCACATCCGGGGCGCGGGGCCGGGCTCGGCCGCGCGGCTCCGCGGGCGCCCCGGGCGGGCGGGCGCCGAGCAGCCCCCGCACCTCTGCCTCGTCCGTGCGGAAGTAGAAGAGAAAGTTGACRACGAGCTTGACGAGGCGCCTCTTGAGCCCTGCGAGGAGAGGGGGTGTGAGGCGGCGGCCGCAGGTGCCCCTGCCCGGCCCGGCTCGCCCCATCCCCGTGCTGCCCACGGCATTCCCCCCGCGCCGCCCGCCCCGTCCCCGCAGCCACAACCCGCGAACGGGGCCCGCGGCTCCGTGTGGGCACCCCCGGGACCCCCCGGGACCCTCCCGGCCCCCCCGAAGGTCCTGGCCCCCCCCGGGACCTCCTGGCCCCCCCGGGACCCTCCCGGTCCCCGAGGCCCCGGGCCGGAGCCGCTGCACCACACGGGCCGCACACAGCGGAGCCAGGAGCGCGGCCCGCTCTGCGCCTCCTGCTTCGCGGGCGCCCTCGAGGGGGGGCCCCGCGGAGCCTCCCGGGGCTGGGCCGGGCCGAACCGAGCCGAGCCGGGCCGAACCGGGCCGGGCTCCCCGCAGCCCCGCTCACCGCTGCCCTTCTTGGGCACCCGCATGAGGATCTCGGCCGCCTTCTCGGCGGGCTGCCGGGCCAGGCAGAGCAGCTCGCGCTCGTTGTAGCGCATGGCGCCGCCCGCCCCGCGCTGGAGCCGGACCCGGCCCCGGACCCGAACCCGGACCCCTCGGAGCCGGACGAGGCCGCGGCCCCGGCCCCGGAAGCGCTCGCGCCCCGCCCGGAAGCGCTGGCGCCGGAAGGGCCCAGGCGCATGCGCGGGCGGCGCGCGGGCCGGTACGGTACGGGCCGGGCGGGCCGGTACGGGCCGCGGGGCCCG